CTCATAGCGCGAGCCGGGCCAATTTATGGCTAAAATTAAAAAAAAAAAAAAAAAGCTAAATCTATTTCCGTTAATTCACAGAAAATAGTTTACTACTTTCTTATGAACACACAAAAAAAAAGACAGCAATCTCCAAAAAACCATTCAGAGCTTATCAGCCTTATGGTATATTAAAGGCCATAACTACAATTAAGATGATGTAAATCCACTTATATTTTTAGTCTGTCTGTGCATCTGCCACATTCCTGTGCATATCAGACTATTTCTCCTGTGCTATCAGCTGTCCAGTCTTCCCACCACCTCAGTCACATGAACTGAAATGCACAGATAAAAACCCAAGTGCATGAAAAGATGATCTTTAATATTACAACATTTTCCACCTCCATGTAAATTATATTCTTAGTTAATGTTCTTATGTTCATTTTCATGTCTTTGCAATTCAAGAGGTTGTGAACAAACCTTGGAGTAAGGATTTCTTTGTACTGTAGTTTCTCCAGCTTTGATGGTGCCACCAGTGACATGGGAATAACAATGTTGTCTATATCATATGAGCTCTCACTTCTCAACCTCCTCCTGGAGTTATGCTGAACAATAAAATCAACACAAGAGGATCAGCTCAAATCACAGGAAAAATATTTTAGCAGAGAAACATTAGAACTTCACAAGGAGAAAGCCTGAACTTTAATGGACTCAGACTATTCTAAAGTGCAATTTATGTGCTCTTTGATGATGATTGATTCAGGGGAATAAAGGAGTGTGTGTTGTTTAACCTGTGCAGGACACACATTTTAACTCAACTCTGCATTAAAACATGACAATTCACAGAGCACCAGTAGACCGCTAGGCTTAGCAAAACCATGGGACCTGAATCTGAGTATCATTCTGAATTTTCCATTAATTTCACTAAAATAGTGTGTTTCTTTACACACTATGAGCCAGAGTTCTGCTGCTCCTCAGCTAATTATATACCAGGGATTTCGCCTGTATTTCTGCACAAAAGGTTTTAAATAGGGAAACTGAGAGTTAACAAATTTTGTGACTCTATTTGCACCATGAGGCCATTTTATATAGCTGCACCAAAAAAAATAAAGGGTCATAAGTGCCCTAGTGTAAAACTGGGAACATAAATAACAGTGTATTTAATGAAATTTGGGGAAAATGGCACAATGCCAATAAATCAAATTTACACTCCAGTTATATGATCTGCAAAATTCTTTCATAACCAAGTACACATAACTCAATTTGGGATAAATTAGTAAATGTGATCCACTTAATTCACTGTAAAAATGCTCTGCACTGTCATATGACACTAAATCAGATGTAAAAGGCATGTGGCTTTGGACTATTAATTTGCACAAATCTCTGTTGTTATTTTAGTTGAGACAGTGACACATTTTTGGTTTACCTGTGATGAAGTGCTGTGAGAGGGCCGAGACATGGCACTGACACTGCTTGTGGGAGTAAAACTGTTGTGGGCCTCGGGCTCTGCATGTTGGAAGGAGAATGTCTCAAACCGAGCGCTACTTTCGCCTGTCATAAAAAATAGCAATAAACAAGACATACTGCCTGTTGGCTATTAGACTGTAGAAATTTTTCCACACACTAACAGTAAAGTAATTTCTAGAAGCCTACAGTGAGCCACTTACAATTTACTGGATACTAAAAAAAAAAACCAAAACATATAAATAAACACTTGCTATTCATCCTGTCATTGTTGCTCATATAACTCATCCCTCTTATTCTCTGAAGGATTTCTTCTCATTGAACCAGCTTCATATGGGCAAACCCTGACTCTTTTCTTCAGGAGCTGTCATGGAGTACACACACAGCAAATGCCATCTGACTTAGATTCCCCTTGTTCCCCAGCAGCAGTTGGGGTGCATCTCACAAGTTCTCCCTGACTGTTCCTTCCTTAATAAATGATAAAACTGGCAGCAAGGGTAACAAACAAAATCAATTTTAATCTCCAAACCAATAGTGGTTTCTTCTGATTCACTGCTCCAGACAAACTGTAATTCCTGTTTACTCCCATTCAGTCCCAGTATAAGCAGCATTTAGAGGGATTCACAATTTAACCACCTGTTCTGCTTTCCTTCTACCTAATTTCAAGAAAGAAAGGAGAACTCAGACTTAATATACCAATAACAAAAAGAATGAGAATATTCCAACATGGAAAAAGAGGTAAGACTGATCTTAAGGACTGTATTACACAGGCTGGGTCAAGGTAATGAACTACCATCTCCCAGGCAGCTCTGCAACTCCCTGGCACACAGCTTTTATTTTTGTCCTTGTTCATTAGGCTGACCTTCCTCATGGATAATTTCTCCTAGACAGAGCCCAAATTAGGAATAAATATGTAGTACTACATTCATAGCACTAATAAGCTAGAACTTGTGCTCCTACTCATGAATGCACCACAGAACAGTTTTCTGGCACTGGGATGACACTCATGATAAAAGATTGCTTTTTTGGTTCCATTTATAAAAAAACTAAATAGTATTGTCAGAAGACTAATGGTAACTTCAAAAGGTTTATAGCAAGATGTTTTCTCTCTTACTAGTGCTCCCAAGTAACTGCAGCTGTTGATCTCAATGTTCATGACTACACTTTGGGAAACTGCATCCACCTCTTGAGGGCCAGCAAGTGGTCAGGGGAGCAAGTGGCATGGGAAAGAGGATCAGTGGTGGTGAAAGGGGATGGAGCACAGCACCCCCTTGGAGACAGGCACAGAGTGCAAGAGAAGGCTGTACAGCAAAGCCAGGGCTGTACTGCACCAGGGGAAGGAATCAAAGGACAGCCCTCACCTAAATCCAAAGCAGTTTTCAGTGTGCCCACACACAGCTTTTATTCCCTCGGAGTGGGTTTTGGGTTTTGCTTTAATCCTCGATCATAATTTTTTATTGATTAATCTCTGCAGTAATTCCTGTATCTCCACCTCTAGTGAAAGATTACAGTTTTGCCTGGATATGCACCAGCAGTTAATTTTTCCACAATATTAACTGATAATTTATACTTTTTCATTCTTTCCTAAGGGAAATTTTAAACTACGATGCTTTTGCTCAGTGATTTACTTTCTTCAAATATCTTGTGAAGAATTTTGCCAAAGGTTTTCCAAAAGTTACATAAATGAATCTGTAACAGAATCTGTTAGGCTTTACATTCTAACAGCCTGGAGAGGTAAGATGCCATTTATCTTTACAGTGGTATGCTAAATTTTGTATCCCTACATTATTACATTATTCTACAGAACTTTTAGGGCACTTCCTATTAACTTAACAACTACTGAAGTAAAGATTCAGTAGCTTAAAACAGAACAGTAACAAGGGTAAAAACACAGTAAGAACAGGCTATCCACCAAGTCCTCTTAAAAGTCTGGAAGGGATCCAGAACCACAAATGACAGTACACAACAAATGAAATATAGTGAACAAAGATGCCAGGAACAGTGAATGTTTCATTGGGCACATGACTTAACAGATAACTTTGCAATGTTTGTTTAATTGACTACGATGAAAAAAATCCTTTTGTACTAAGAATGACACCCAGAATTAGAAGAACGTAGTTGAACTTCTGAGCAGTTTCCTTTAAGAGTACTCCAAAAATAAAGTACAGCAGCTTGTCTCATTCTGTACATACACTTAAGAAGATGATTACTATGCTTTAAAATAGCAAATTACTTTCATGATGTTCTAAGTCTGTTTCTTCATAAGTTTCATAACAGTATCCTTTTTGGAGACAGCTTTTAATTCCCAGAGCCCAGTGATATTCATACAGTACGTATTTTAAAAGATGTAGTAGTCTCTTGCAATGCTATTTTTCTCTTACCTACTGCTGTCTCACTTAGATGCCTTTTCTTTCTTCCTTCAGACAGCTGGTCAGGTGTTCCTAACATCAACTGAGATTTGGAATTAGACAAACAGCCACTGCTCCACTGTTTGACAGAAACATGTGGATTATAGTCTGTAACAGAAAAAGCATGTATCAAGTTGAGAAATTACTTTTCATCTGTACAATTTACAGGACATCTCAATTACTGAACTATTTATAATAGCCCCAAACTTCTGATAGGAATCCAAATAATAATGGGACTGAAATCAGGCACCTGGTCCAAACTCCCTCCACTTGTAGTATCCTCCTACAGCTCTGGTGGGATCATCTCAGTGCAATTAAGGAGAACCTGACACTGTGGTCTGAGAAGAGATTCCTCTTCCACCTAAAGCCATATTCAGTTACCTTCTCTGATAACCTCTTTATGAAAAGTTTATAAACAAAACCTCTTTGTGCCAGAAAATACTGACAAATGAATGAAAAATGGCCTTGCAAATGCTAAAACATTTTGCTTTACATACCATTGTCAGCAGATACTTTAAACTCCCCTCCCAAAGATGAGGTATCAGCAGGTTCTCCTTTGATGTCATCCTTCCTTAATAATGTTTCAAAGTATATGTGAAGAGGAATATCTAATTTAAAAAAAACAGAAATCCAAAGGAATAGAGTCTGTATTAGAAAGATAGCAACCTTTGAGCAAATGAATTATGCATCATCACTAGAGGTCTAGGCATTGATTCACCCATCACATTCAACATAATCTGGGAGCACTATTGCTAAGGACTGAAACAGACTCTGGAGGGTATTGAGTGAGAATAAGTTTGGGGGTCTTACTCCTGCACAAAACCCAGCAGAGCAGAGAGCACAGAGAGCACTTCTCCTGTAATGTGAAGAGGCTTTGGTTCAGCCTTTTGGGTACAAGTCATTTGGAATTTGTTACTGCTGGGAGCCTATAGGTATTTTCAAGGTACATTCCCTCTCTGTCTCCTTGGAAAAGTCTATAGCAGGGCAATGTAATTCATTTTCTGATAGAAGTTCTGATGTAGAATTAGCCTGAAAAAACATTTCAAGTGGTAAGTAATTTACCCCCGTTGTAAAGCAGGGAGGCTTAAGAAAAACCTGTCTCTGAAAAGCCTTTCTGGAAAAACAAGACAAGAATAAAGGGACATTTAATTGAAATGAAGTGTCAATGTAAGAAGTAGGCCTGACATCCAGTACATTCAGAATGACAAGAGGACTGTGGGCAGGCCCAAGGGTGGGCATTAAATTACATATATTTATGCACAGTCTTAGCCTCATGTGCCTTCAGGATGTGCCAGGACAAAAACTTTCAACATATTTTGCTAAATGAAAAGAACAATTATTTTTTCAATTTGATATGGATCTAATTTGATTGCTTTATCTCAACACCCCAAGGTTTTTGCTGTGTTTCCTACTCTACTTCCAAGTTAAACAAAGGTCTGAAATGTGCATTAGTCACAACATTTAAATAAAGAGAGAACCAAAACATTTCTCCTGTTTTGTTGGTCTTTTGGTTTTGTTTTTGTGGGGTATTTTTGTGTTTTTGTTTGTTATTGGTTTATTATTGAATTTGAATCCCTCCTTGCACACAAAAACAATCAAACTCTCAGAGTTCTAAAATGAAACAAATGCCAACAATGTATTTTAAACATACAGAGAAAATGAATGGGAAACCCTTTTCTTTCACTCTGCTGACAACTTTTATATATAAAGATGTGGGCACAGCACAAGCAGTATTTTAAGAGAAGTTCTTACTCAGGAGGGGGATAACCAAGAAAGCTGCAAAGAAAACATGAAATGGAGGTAGGCTACAACTTGTAAAATTTCTACCATGCATTTATTCACAGTAATCCTTTCACATGGAAGAAAATGTCAAATAGAATAATCTTTATGAGGAGGTAGAGACAACAAAGTGCACAAAATAAAGCATGAATCTAGCCTCCCCCAAATGTCAGGACTGCATTTGAACAGGAGATAGCAGGTCTAGTACTTCTTCCCTGTCTCAACTATTATTAGCAAGGCTCCTGGAAGGAGAACAAATATTCCTTAACAAATATGTTCTTGATACTGGAATGATGCTAATAACATTTTTTCCTCCTCCATGCTGGCAAAATGTCCAACAGTAGCCACAGCACAGTCCAAAGCTTTTTAGGTTTTTTATGATGACAAAGCTTTTTTTGAGAAAACAGGTCAGTGTTCTTGCTACACATCCCAGTCTCCTTTAACAGAGAGGTAAGAACACAAGGGGCACAGACCTTCCTTTAACAGGTCTCTAAACCCCTGGGGTCCAGCTGTGCTGCCAGAGTCACAGGGGAAGTGATAGCGTGTGTAAAAGAAAGATTTAGGTGTTTTTTCTATCCACAACAGAGTTCTGCTGACAGGGATGTTTGCTGCTGCACTCTGAGTGAGTGTTCCATTTCTCCTATCTGCTCCTACAATAATCTCCTTTTTAACCCATGCATGTGATGCAAACTGCCAGAGCTGAGGCTTTCTCTGGATTCCATGTCCACACTTGGGTCTTCTCTACAGGCCAGTGACAAGTTCTCCACAACCAAGCCTTAAGTTAATTCCTGACTTCCTAATACAAGGATGCAGTACCTACACTGTCATTCTGGGAATACAATGGGTTTGATTAAAGATTCAAACAGTTCCATGGAAGTTCCAGCCTCATCTCCATAATTATTTTGTGGCAAAGAAGCCCCACAGAACAGTGTAATATCTATACTGGTCAGTAACCATCTGGAAATAAGTTTTTCCTAAAAGCTAAAAAATTCCACAAAAATTCAATCCCCTCTGTTGATAACAACATTTAGGCTACTATTTTGAAGTCCCAAGTACTGTCAAGCTGCACCTGCATTAATTTCAGGGCTGAGTCACAGACAATATCCTCTACATTACTGTCCAAAAAGATGAAAAGATCAGATGACAAGAAACCATAAAACTTCAAAGATAATAAAAAATGCTGACTATCACAAAACTTAGAAAACCTAAATAAAGTTTTTTAGACCTAGTCCAAAGGGCCTGAACAAAAAGAAAGTTGCTTATGAAAACAACACAACCATGGTATTGTTGGCAAAAGCACCATCTCTAAAGGACTAACCCTGACTCAATTAGATACCCCATGAAAGATCCAAGCACACCTTTTTTCATGACCAGTTTTCAAGGCTGTAAGCACATTGCTAGTATGAGAAACCTAGAAGGTGTGCTTTTCAAAAGTCAGGATCAAGTCAAGATTTTCCTTTAGTCTAAACTCATGTATTTTGACAACATGAAGTTTTCTGTTGAGAGAACTAAGTCCTAAAAATTATTGAAAAGACAAGTTAGTCCACAACCTCTACAAACACTACTCTGTTAAGTCATGGCATTACTTACCTGAAGGGAATGATAAGACTGGATGGAAGGAAGAGTCCAGCTCTTGCACATAATCTAGGATTTTAGATTCTGTGCTGTGCTCACTGCTGCTGAAAGTGGAGGCTGGCACCACGCATGGCAGTTGAGTTCTAGATGGAAAAGAGGCATCTCTAGATGGAAATGTCTGCAAGAATACACAGAAACGAAGGTTAACTTTTCCTTTACTCATGTCCTTCAAATTAGACCAGAAGAGGAAAAAAACCCAACAAATCAACAACTCAGTGAGTGACACATTTTAATATGTGAATGGGAACAATATTCCAACAATCTCCAGATGGTCTAAATATGACTTACCTTCACTTACTATGGACAACAGTGCACAATACAAAGAATACAAACTGCTCCATCAGTTAGGACCAGGGAATAGCTGTCAAAGCTTTCAGATAAAATGTAACTGTTTCCAGTCATTCTTTTAATCTATCCAATGACAAACACCCCTTAAAATTTGATTCTAGGATAACAGGCATGATATAAATGCAAAAACAAACTTAACACCATTCTAAATAGAGGGCTCTTATTCATTTAACCCCTTATTAAGATTCGTAGCATTTTTGTCTCTAGGCACCTTGAAGAAGAAACTATATTGAATATTTTGAGCATACTGTGTACTTACACAAACCAAAAAAGCAAAGCCTTTACCTTGTCATAATTTAAACATCAGATAAGCAACAGAAAGGAGACATACAGCAATAAACACGGGGAGGGATGCATTAAGAACTGATTAATAGGTAGTAAAAGGAATTACTAGAAAGAGGAAAGGTGCAAAGAAAGATCATTTTAGCTGCTTGGCTGCAAAGCTTGTTTAAGTATGGAAGGTAAAATGATGGATGGCACAGAACTGGTAGATGTGAGGTAGCAGGACTGAGGCAAAAGGCAGGGTGCAAACAGGCAGGAATAAGCAGCAGAGTGCAGGCCATAGACTGAGCTCTGAAAGACAGAAGGAAAGAATTAAATGTGATGATACAAGACAGCAGCAAATAGCAGCCTGTGCTTCAGAATGTGCTACAAAAAGCACTTCAGGGAAATAATGTGGCATAAGCTCCTTTCTTACTGGATACTTGTGGTACTAACCCCAAAGATACTGACATTTTAAAAGTTTCTGATATTTTGCCAAATGCTGCAGATCCTGCAAAAGGGAATGGTGAGAAAGGGACACTTAGAGGGATCTCAAGCCTCTCATTGTACCAACAGTCACATTTATCAGCCCCTGGGAAACAGTTCCAGTGTAAAATACTTTAAGAATGTATATGATATTTTCTTATAACTTTTTATGGAAACATGTCACATCAAAGGCAAGACTATCAAAGAACATTACTTGCATTTTCTGTACTTCTGCTTTCTGAATCAAAGATAACTCTTTTTCCTGCCTGAAATACTCCAGGCTGCACTTTAGCACTGCCATTCATGAATTAGTGATGCAGGGATTATATCTACCAGATAAAATTCCCTCCACTTAGTCAAAACCATCCGTCTGCCACATGGCATCAATATTCACAACCCACACCATCTCAGAAAATATTACATTAACAAATTCCCCTTACTATCTCTTCCTTTCTTCTCAGTTACTGAGTTCTCTATGCTGGTATTGTATCTGAGAAACTACTAAAATCAAGTAAGCATGTTATGATGCTGTAGCAGAGAACACAGTGATAGTGGAGGGAGGTTCATGTATTTAACTTTTCCCCCCCCCAGGAAAACATTAACAGTTCTAAATCCACCTTGATCTCCATACACAAGTGTATGCACCAGTGCTTTCAACTTAGCTTGGAAAGAATTCTTTCCTAACCCAGGACTCCTTCAAATCAATGTTCTGTTATTTTCCTGTGACAGACATATGGGACTCTTCATCTGTTAAACTTTAAACATCCCTAAAGTGTTGGCAGAACTGGGTCCTATGTTTGGAAACATTAGAGGGATAAATGCTAAAGTAAACTTAATGTTTCCCATTATATGGATCATTACACTAAAGCTTAAAGAGCTTTTAAGTACTTGCTCTACCTCAATGCACTAAGGACTTGCTTTTCAAAAATACACAAATGCATACTTCTTGTTGATATTTGGGTTTTAGAAATGAAGTAATTTATTAAATCTCTACTCTTGAAGCTGCAAAGGCACCACTTCTGTCTGTCCTTTTTGTTAGCAGAAGTGAATCATATTACAGTAGATAAATCTCTCAGTCATTCTTTATAAAAGAAATTCCCAAAAACTAATCAGTAAAATTACCTAGAAAGTATATAGATAAGACCAAGACACTCTGACATCCAGACCATTAGTCCTTACTCACTTTTTCTTGCTTTAATCCACTTTAGCCCCAGACATATCCAGATTATTAAAGCTGAGCCAGTTCAAAAACATGCATACATGGTCAAACAACCTCACAGTCCAAATCCATTTTGAAACTATATTAAAATCCATTTGGCAATATCAGTAAATGGAGAATTCTTTTCTTCAACTTGCCTGTGATGGATATGCCTGAATTTGTGCTTTGAATGCTCTGACATCAACACCTAAGTAATGAAATCTTAATTAAGCCAAAAAAAAAAAAAAAAAAAAAAAAAAAAAAAAAAAAAAAAAAAAAAAAAAAAAAAAAAAAAAAAAAAAAAAAAAAAAAAAAAAAATTTAAAATCAACCCCCAAACCCTGCTTTCTAGAATCAGAAACCATAAGGCAGAGAGTTCCACTTTGTCACTATCTGCCGAAATATATAAATAATCCAAAATCTGAAGTGTGTGTTGGACAGCACCCTCAGGCTATCATTTTACACCCAGCTGTTATTCTCAGAGGATTCTCAGTAAATCCAGAAATAGACCCAGCCGGGAGTCGGGAACATGCTCAGAAGAGAATGTCGCCATATGGCAGCTCCTGACTGTTGCATAAATGTATTGATCAGCTGAACCAGCTTCAGGATGTCTCTATTAAGGACAGTAGCATCAAGGGGATAAGTAAAATTAACAGAAAGACGAAAGAGCACCTGAACTGTCTGTTCTTTTCCATTTAAGCATCCTCTTGTCCAAAGTATGACACCAATTGTTTGAGAAGATCTGTTAGTTCAGTTTAAATCTCAAGCTTAAAGGAAATTCCTAAATAAAAATCAAACATAATAATAATATTTTATTGCTATGACAACCCAGAAAAGCATATTAGCAATCCAAATGACAATATTCTTCCTCCTCTTTCATTGACATTGGCAAAGAAAGAAATTATGTTGGAGTTTTTAATGTAAGTTTTCAAAAGTGAAAGATGATCACACATTAAAACCGACCATGAAAATAGAATCCTGAAAGAGAATTTTCTTTAGCTGTTTAAGCAGCTAGTGAGTGGGTTTTGAACTGTGTGCTTTAAGCCAGAGAGGAACCTGTTGCAAAACAAGGTCTCCCATTCACCTGTGTGACCAAGAGAAAAACCACTTTGTCACAGAGTCACAGAATGGTTTGGGTTGGAAGGGACCTTAAAGATCAGCCAGTTCCAACCCCC